TTTTTTTTTTTTTTTTAAACAACAACAGCAACAACAACATTACTATCTCTTCTTTCAGGCAAATGTGTAGGGAAAGGCCCCATTAATGCTGCACTTTCAACTAAAATGACTCCTTTTACAGACTGCCTAAGAGCACTCGAAGGGAGGGGTCCTGCTCGGCACACCTGTCTGCGCCGGAGAGTGCGTTTGTTTTGCGTATTTAGAATTCTAATATTCAACTACATGCATTTTTGTCCTTTGAAATCAATCAGAAATATCCAGTTATAAATCAACTTTTCCGTTTCTTTGTATTATTTAAAAATATAATTATGTGAATTTACTAAAATAGTGGAGGAATCAAGGGCTATACGTACTCCACCCAGGATCCCCTTATCAGAGTTCCAGAATCTGCTGTACAGAGGGGTTTCTTCCCATTGTCTCACAGTTTGATTCACTGACACTAGACAGTAACGAGCTGAACGTCAGGCCGAAGGCAGGAATTTATCAATCGATTTCATGTCAAGTTATCCTAATAATTGCCTTTTTAAAAGTAATTAGTTTTATTCCATACACTGTTTACTTTTGCACACCATGCGTTATTAGCTCATGTAGTCCCCAGCTCTGTAGTGTTTCCGAGACAATGTAAAGGACGCCCTCTAGTTTCCCCAAACACAACCTCTTTCTTTTGTTTTTAATCAACATTATTAGGTTAAATGAACTAGCTGTGTGTAAGTCACTAATTTTAGTAAACTCACAGGATTGTGTAGCGAAAACCTAGTTTTCAAACCTTTCCATCACCCCAAAAAGAACCCTGTGCCCACATGCAGACACTCCCCATCCTCACCCCAGCCAACTGCTGACCTCCCTTCCTAGAGCTCGGCCTTCTCCAGCATTTCCTTTTAGACTATGATATTGCACACTTGCAGAAATTGTTTTATCTGCCGGTATACTTGACGGTATCTGCTCTTTTTCTAGGGACATTCCGCCGAAATCATCTCGTTGTCATTTAACACCTCAGGAGACAGAATCATCACGGGGTCTTTTGATCATACAGTTGTAGTGTGGGACGCTGATACTGGAAGGTAATTCTTAGTTCTCAAGCATTGTTTTAACCTGGATCAGGGGGTTCAGAAAACCCTCTGTTATTTATTAGCTTAAGCTGCTCTCTATTAACTCTGCTTTGGGTTCCATAAAAATAGTACATATTGAAAATGTAAATTAATTCATTCTTTAATGATATTTCTGATTCACAAAATATGTGCATTCTTGGAATTCTGAGCAAATAATGACAAACAGCAACATAAAAGGAGAATGTTAGCAATAGTCTGGTTACATAGCTACTATTTATTCCAGGGATAATCAAATTTCAATGGCTTGTCATTATGTTAGGCATGAATATCATGTATAAATAAAACTCTTAGTTAATTTCCCAAATTTAATTTAGTCCAAGAACTTCAACTTCCTTCCTAATGATTTTTGGTCCTAGTTGCTAGGAAGTTAACTAAATTAGCATATTTGTGTTGGAAAACTACTCTTGGATTTGTCTGTGATTTAATAGAGGGGCTAATTATCAGGGGTGCCGACCAAGATGTATGCAACAAGAAATGACAGAGAAAGAAGGACCTTTCAGTTACTTGACATGTGGTTTCTGAACAACCAGGGTGCACTCGACTGGTGTAAGAATACTTCTTACGGCTTTTACTATTTGTTACCCATTTCTTTTTGAAATGTTGCCTTCAGTAGCATTATTTTGATAGTTTAAAATCCAAGTACATTTTTGTTGAAATGATATTATTTATTTATTTATTTATTTGAGACGGAGTCTTGCTCTGTCACCCAGGCTGGAGTGCGGTGGCGCAATCTCGGCTCACTGCAAACTCTGCCTCCCGGGTTCACGCCATTCTCCTGCCTCAGCCTCCCGAGTAGCTGGGACTGCAGGCGCCCTCCGCCATGCCCGGAGAATTAGTATTTTTAGTAGAGGTGGGGTTTCACCGTGTTAGCAAGGATGGTCTCGAACTCCTGATCTTGTGGATCCACAGCCTCGACCTCCCAAAGTGCTGGGATTACAGGCGTGAGCCACTGCGCCCGGCCGAAATGAAATTATTAGTAGTTTCTTTTTGAGCACTAGTAAAGCCGTATTTGTTTTGTCATCAAATATATTATTTTATAAAAACCAAAATTTAGATTAGCTTACACAGATGGGCTTGGCCTCGTTATTCATATGCATATACTGAAGTAAGATATCTTTCACTAATTTTAATTATTTTTGTGTTGTAGGAAGGTAAATATCTTAATTGGTCATTGTGCTGAGATTAGCAGTGCCTTATTCAACTGGGATTGCTCTCTAATATTAACTGGCTCTATGGACAAAACCTGCATGGTGAGCTAAATAAATAAATATCTTTGCTTTATATTGTGTCTATACTCTTTACTGTGTCAGATATCCATTGTAACATTAACAAATTTCAAAGGTGATATAAAATTAAGATATTAATTTACAAATAATAATTGGTAATTTTT